TCTCTGTGGTCTAATGGCGTGACCCGCCTTGATAGTAAGTGGTTGCAGGTTCGAATCCCAACAGACACTTGTCATAGGCCTACTACTGAATTAAGGAACTTTTTGTTGATAGGCTAGGGATAGGATAAGAGTATTTTGTTGTGAATAAAACCAAGGATAAACCACTAAGTTCGAAGTCTTGTTTCCGGTGGAGTCCTTCTGGTAGTGAATTGGGCAATCGCTGGGGGACAGTCCAAGGGACTCTTTTCCGAAGAATGTACTGCGTTGAACATTCGCCATTGCACAAGGGACAAACGGCTTAAACGCTTTGTTTTCCCTGGTCATTGGGTTAACACGCATTATTGTTGCTGCAATAATTTGCGCAGTAGGGGATAACACCTCACCAGGTACCATATAAGGTGGAGAAAATCAATGCAGATTAAAGGTGACTTGCTCAAGGATACCAGCGAAATGTACAGCGAGGGATTGAAACCCCGACCTCGAGCCTAGCAGGTCCATAGGCAGGGGGTGCAGAGGGTGCGGACGCACCCCAACCCCCAAATTCCGAAATGTCCACTTTTTAAAACCTATGATTTCACAAAATAGTTCCTAATTATAATAAAATGCTATAGCATGCATTGCTTTGTATATTTGCCAGCTTATCTAACCGTTGATTTTTAATAATTTGGTATGAAATTTATTAGAAATTGATCGTCTCCGGTGATTGCAGATTGATCATAATATGAAGAATATTATTTATAGGCCTGCAGATGTAAGGACATAATAACGTTATTTTTCAGGTCACAAAAACACCGAAATTAATGAAAATTTAAATGAAATATTCATAAATTATGTGTTTTGAGAAATTTATTATGTAAGACCCTCAAAATGCTACTTTGTCGCTTTTCTCACAAACGCCCTCCAGGCCTCTGCCCCTGGACCACCAAATTTCAAAAAGTCCACTTTTTTAAAACTTACGATTTCACTAAAATCGTTCCTAATTATCGCGAAATGCTAAGTATGCATTACATTTTTTGCCCGCTCTTCTACACGGTGATTTTTAATAATGTGCTACGAAATCTGTAGGAAATTATCAGCTCCAGTGATTGCAGATTGATTTCACAGTGGTGGATTCAAGGGCGGAGAGAGCACCCTAACATTATAAAAGAAATGGAGAAAAAAGAAAATCATAATTAAAGTTTGTCTGAGAGTGCCACTTCCGGCAATTCCGAGGTGATATAATCATAAATTTTCTTACCTCAGCCCCAACCATGGTGGGGCTGAGGTTGTATTGACCATCTGTCTGCACAAGTTCCTCTGTTCACCCCTACCTTCTATTTCTCCTGCTTTACAGTAGGTCCCTAGACAATACACAAAAAGGCCCTCAAAATGCTAATTTATCAGAGCTTCCAGAAGATTCGCCCCACCCTCGCGAGGACCCTTGGGCATGAGTCGCCCATCGTAAGGTCCACTTTGGTTGTAAAACGCACCTCCCCATTGAAAATCCTGCCTAGGGGCTTGCCTAGGAAACCAAACCGTTCCCACTAGCAGTGCGCCAAACCGCTTCCGCCCTTTTTGGGAATGTCAAACTCCTCGACTCGTCGGAGAAATTTTGTGGCACTGGTATTGTTCTACTTAGTATTTGAGAGTGGACTTTTTTGTGCTCGGAAAATTTCTAGTGGTAGGGTAGAAAAGTCTGAGGTGTAAGTTGTTGTTCCGCACACAACCCTTATGCACTGCATTCCCTCATTTTTATAAAATAAAGCCTATATCATACTGATGTTGAAAACAAAAACTATATTGAAAAGACTTGTAGGCTTATAATTATAAGTAAATGTGTGGGACTGTGTAAAATATTGGATGTATACATTTATGTCAGCCAACTACAGGTATATATACAGATATATGTCATTGATTTATAATTTGTTTTCAACTGATGTTAAACAGTGTATTTATTTACAAACATAATTTTAGGTCTATTCGATCGACTTTTTTGCGAATTATAAAAACAAATCTATTTAGAGAGATCGTTCTTGAAGTTCAGTAGATCGAACTCAAAAATTCTTTATGTAATTAGTTGTGGGATAAAATAATATATCTCATGATGAGATAAAAAAAATAATGCCACGGGTTTACGAAATAATAATAATAATAATAATTTAATAATAATAATAATAATAATAATAACAATAATTTAATAATAATAATAATTTAATAATAATAATAATAATAATAATTTAATAATAATAAATAGTATATCATTACCATCATCATCATTGTTATTATCTATTACAGATCCTATACCGTTTTATTTCTAAAATTGCGCATCTGACAACTAATTTTAATAAAGTCAATTTGCAATACATTTTGGGGTACTTACTGCAAGGTAGTGCCTACAACTTCAAGAAGGGATGGTGACGTTGTATTGACATAATATCAATACAAGAGGTTTATATATATTTACCACCTAAAAGCCACACCTTAGGCATGCGCACTTTTCACCAAATACATTATATTATGATGTCACGTGATATCTTTTCATGAGAAAATAAAGAGAGCAACAAACGATGCAGAAATTGGAATTTCCAATCTGCATAGAAAGCTATTGGTCGATCTGGAAATTGACAGTTTCAAAAGCTAATATAGTCTGTTGTCTATAGTTGGTGATAAATTTTCTTGTTACATAGTATGATTATTTAAAGAATCTATTATACTTTAAAGCGCATTAGTAGGTCCCTATTTTGCTAAAACAAATGTCCCAATTATTCTAATGTTAAACCCAAATAAATAAGCCTATTACATAATTAAAAAAATAATTCATAATTCATCATAAAAAAAGGCCTCTCCATACACCCCTCCGCTATCACATACCACAATATCGCATTAACTTATGGAACATATTTATTGTATCTTATGCTGTGCTAACTACATGGAGACACCTATTATGGAGACACTCTTTGTCCTGAAGGTGTCTCCTTATTATAGGTTCTACAGTACTTCCGTAGTTCTAGGCCTACTATCCATGTTCAAAGAATAACAATAGAACTTCAATTAGCTGCAATACATTAAACAAATATTATACTGTTCATTACTTTTTTTACACTATTTTGTTATCTTTACCCACACCGTATTTCATATTTCTTATGCTAATTGATAGGATTAACTGTTTTGTGCCAGGTATTGTTCTGGCGGAGTTGTACGGTAGTTTATCTTTGAGGGCGGAATACCCGATTTACTCTCCCCCTTACCCTCACCCCGAGACTTCCCATTACCCTTAGTTTGCATCATGGTTGCATCAGATTATTCAATCTTCCAACGGTACCTCAACGTATTCGTGGGTCCAACAATGTATACAGTAAAGGCGAATTGTCAGTTGCCCACTGTAGGTTGAGTGGCCTTCTAATTTAAAACTCGCACATAAATCCACTCTTCAAGTAATGCGCACTTTTCACCAGACGTGTCACAATTCGCCGATTCGGGTCCCACAATTCTCCGAATTAACGGGTGCCACAATGCGTCAATCGAACAAAACGATCCCAACAACAAAAGATGAATACGGCTATTAAAATAGATTTCCCAGTCTGTACAGAAGCCAAAGTACAGTTGCAGGGGCAATAACTTCAGATTTATTATTTCTCTTGATATTGGAAATTTGGAAATTCCCAATTCCAAATATTTTCAATTCAATTCGTTAAAATGTTTTTATTCCATAATGAGGACACTCCTTCGGCCATTTAACAGTAATATCGTATCACAGTGTTTAAGCTGTCAGCCAAGTAGCCAAATCCTAATAAAAGCTCAATTTATTTTCGTTCAAAGCCAAAAAGCTAATGGAATTGAAGCTATCATTGCTTAGGCCTTTATTCATTTGTTTGGCTAATCAAATTTTAATTTGGCTAATTATTTTCATACTGAATTAGCCAAATTGCTGATTTTGTTTTTGTTTTTGTTTTTGTTTTTTTGTTTTGTTTTGTTTTGTTTTTGGTTAGCTAAAACCATGATATCAGAACAATAATGTATACAAGGCCTATGCCTAAAAACAAATACAGTATTCCTTATTTAAAATCATGTATGTTCTAAAAAACTTATCAGACCAAAATCAAATCTCATCGACTAGCAATTAATGAAAATCCTATTAATTCAAATTCATTTTTTGACGAACTGTTCCATTCCAAAATTGTTCCATAATATCCAATCCATGTTAACAACGAATTACTCTCGATTGTGGGTGTCTGACAGCGGCTGTGCCGGAGTTTTACAAGTAGTCGTTGGACCGATTTTCTTTTCTTTCTTTTTCTTTTTTTTTTTTTTAATGAAAAAAATCGGTCCGGCAAACTGACTGGCCACCAAAATTAGTCCTCTTGGATAAAACTGTTTGTATTCCCTATCTAAATTTAAATGTGCTATAGCAAATAGGCCTATCTAAATTTAAATTTGTATTAGCAAAATGTTCGTACCGTCGAATACAGCGTAGACCATATCGCTTGGTGGTAGTACAATACTCTCCAGGGTAGGCCTACTCTCCAGAGCCATATAGATAGAAAGAGTTGCGACTTTGAGAATTTAGAAGCTATTTTGTGTCAAACGCGATGCGCGTTCTGTGTCTAACCAAAGATAATAAATAACAATAATAATAATAATAATTTAGCTTAAATATTTTTCCGAACGCATCTAGGCGAATGAGAAAATAAAAATAAAATTTGAATGATGAACGTAAACAGTGTAATAATGCGTAAATAAATGCTTTAAATTTATATACCGTAATTAAGGAAGAAATATATGGTAGATACAAAAACTCAATAGCTGTCTCTTATACACATCTAGATGTGTATAAGAGACAGGGCCTATGTATGTATCCAGGGTACGCCACCCTCGATTTTGAAGAATGAGCTTTTAATATGAAGGTTATAAAAACAACAATACCAGAATCAGAAGTTGATCATCTCTTCTGATTCCTAGTTTCGTTTCTCTCAGCACAATGAACATCAAAAAATAGGATAACTAGTGCCGCATAACAATCACACTACAGAATACATCAGAAGCGCACAAAGATGTTTAATGTTTACATAAGATCTTTGTGCGCTTGACAAAGTTATAGCTTTTGATTGTATCTAACAAGAATACACTTAAGATAATGCGAACAAAAGGGCAAAATTTGTTGATTCTTGATGTTAAAAGCAGAGAATCCAAATTCTAAGATATCATTAATATTATGATTGTACGCTTTAAAAAATAATTAAACCAGAAATGCACTTTACTCGAATTTCATTAATTTTCACTCTCACTTTTAATAATCAAACTATTAAAGTGCTATTGATTTTTTTAGTGGTTAACAACTTTAGCTGGTATGTATAAACTTTAACATTTTAATTTCAAGTAAAAATTCTTATTAACAAAATGTAAACATTGTTTAAAATATGTTTGGCTGATTAATAATATAAATCATTTACATTTTCATGGTAGGCCAATGAAAACAGAACATCACATGGTCCCATTAACATGATTTCATTACAATGATCACATCACATGATCATATCACATGATTGCATCACACGAGCAAGTTAAATTAAACAAAATACAACACATTGAACTATTCAGTACATTTTCGACTGTCTTAAAAATTTAGACCTTGTCGATTTGGGGTGGGATGTTTGGGAGCGTACTCACCCACTCATATTAAAATAACGCTTTATTAACAGGTACACTTTACATAAAGTATTAAATCAATCAAACGATCAATTTCATTTTCTGAATTTGTATTTCTATGAATGTCATAAAGTTTCCAAAAAATGTTTCTTACTTAACACAGATGCCAAAATGAAAATAGTTTGAATGTATTTCTCACTAGTTCAATCTCTTTTATTTCAGTGTCTCAGCTCAAATCTACCGATCCGTCAATAAATGGGAAGTCGATGTACAATCATTGTCAGCGGAATACCATGTGTATTAAATTGCCGGAACACTAGATGCTATCAATAGCCGGATTTATGAGATCTTAATACTACAATTAATAATAATTTATTAGGATTTATATCACTGGATCGCCGGAATTGAATCAAATTTGCAAATATTAGGCCTATGTTTCTTATACAACGAACAAGTAATTCTCGAACGATATTATATACTTAAATATAATTAGGCCTAAGCATTATTATATTATATTATATAAAACTATAATCTTTATATTCTATTCATATTACGTTTATATAGTTCTGATGTAACATTTCCGAGTACGTAAGAAATAAAAGTAAACTGTGTGTAATTTATAATACATCATTGTTTGTATTTCCTTTGTCGTTTGCATTAATAATAATATTATATATATCATGATTATTAATCAGTATATAATCGTATTTAATATATTATAATCACTTCGAATTCGAATATAGCACTATTACAGGCTATTATATCTTATAAACACTCTTTCCAAATATATTCACATGATGCCAACAAATTTCGAAACTTTTCAGAAAGGTGCTGTCAAATTTTACAAAACAGGAAATGACGTCGGTTGCTAGGCTACAGCTCATGCATATTCAGTAACACCTGTGCTCATTAGACTAACAATAAAATCTTTTAGCTCAGTTTTGACAAAATCGACCAAAAAGATTTTATTGTTAGTCTAATTAGAACAGGTGTCACTGAATATTCATGATTATGCATGAGCTTGTTGCTTAGCAACACGTCATTTCCGGTTTTATGTTTTTCTTAAGGGCGCCCTCGAAAGAATTGCTAGTTTAATAATTAAAGTAGCACATATTGATGAAGCAATTCTTCACTTCTGGTTTAAGCTTATAATAAGGATATTTTAGCTATTAAATTTATTGCAGTAAACACAGACATTAAATAAGATGAGAGGATATGCACAATTCCATTTGATATTTATTTTCAAGCACGAAATCAAGTTGGGATATATGTATACATTTTATATTTATATACTTAGGTCTATATCTAATATCTATAGCTAACAATATTTTTGAGATTTTCGCAGAGGAAAATATTTTAAAAAGAAAATTCACACTTTATTTTAATTAATTTTATATCCAGAAGCTTGATGAGTGACACAATTTGTGGCTATATATGAAAAATTGGTAAGTTCTGTGGCCCTTTCAGTCTGGGCATTCTTTCCTCATAGTTGAGGCTTCTTTGTCTACATCACTGGAATAGAAAAATATTGAAAAAAGATTAAGAAAAAGAGAAAGAATTATAATTGAGTATGCCAAATGAAGGGATCCCACCACCTCAGCCCCTCCATGGTTGGGGTGGAGGTAAGAAACTTTTTGATTATGGACAGAAATGGAACTCTCAGATTTTAAATTTTGAATGTAATTTTTTTTTTTTCAAATTTTTACCATTTTAAAAGATTTAGGGGGGGGGGAGGCCGGCTGTCCCCCCCCCCACTTCTTAAGTCGGCAACTGAAAAATTAGTGAGCACCCAAAACTTAACATTATCGTATTCAATTATCGCAATGGACAATGCTGCTGATACAACATAATAGTACTTCACAATTCTTATCATATCAACATTATAATTATTTATAGCATCATCATATTACGGAATTATGTGAGGATTATTAAATACATGGCATTGGGTAGGACTAGTGGATCGCAATAGCGCAAACAAATTATGTTAGCATTCCGATTGTCATGGGTAAATAAGTTTATAAAAAGTGTACTATTCGATAGAAATTAATATATAGATTTATAAATACAGCATATTTAAACAATAAACATAATACTATATCTTCATACAAACATTTTTTCATGATATAATATTTTTTAAATAATTGATTAAATTTATTGGATGCTCAACATGCACAAGCAAGATAACAAATGGATTGAGATCAAGAAAAGTAAAAATTACCGAGCATCAGGAACGGCCATTAGGTTGGAGTCCAGCCCATTTCCAATGAGGTCCAATTCAATATACGATTGTCTGTCATTAGCTGAAAGATAAACAATGTATTTCACATTCCGACTTTCTTTTAGAAGGGCGCCATGAGCGTTTCCTGTTATACGGATACCGGCGCTTTATTTCATTATTATTATCGTTATCGTTGTCGTCGTTGTCGTTGTTATTATTATTATTATTATTATTATTACTATTATCATTCTTATTATTATTATTATCATTCTTATTCTTTATTATTATTATTATTATTATTATTACTAATATTATTATTATTATTACAATTATTTTTATTATTATTATTATTATTGTTATTGTTATTATTATTATTATTATTATTATTATTAGGCCTATTATTATTATTATTACACCTATTAATATTACTAATTTACAGTAATTACAGCTAAGGGCTTGTTAACTTCCGTCCGTTGTTTACATTGTAGATTCGTATCTGTTTTTTCATTGACATTATATGCAATTTATTACCAAGAGTCTATAATTATCTGGTGCACAACTTTTAACCTTGAATAATCAAAATTTGTCATAGCCCGAAAAAAATATTTTTTATATTATTTTTAAAGGACAGCGAAAGTGATTGAGGTAGGCCCCAGTGTCACCGTGTTTATCAATACTAATATTAATTAATTCATGGATGTGTACTTCTATGATGTCGATATCAAATAAAGCTACTACTGCAGTGACGGATCCAGAAATTCGAAATATAAGGGATCCAGGGAGGACTTTCACATATGGATTTATGATTATGTCACCTCCATGGTCCATGCTCTAGATGGCCGGAAACGACTTAAATATGAATACAATTCTCATTTTTTTCCTCCATTTTTGAATTAATTTTTTAATAATTTAGGCGGGGGCCGGTTGCACACTTCCACTTTTCAAATATACAGAGCAGTTGAGCATTTTATATATAGGCCTATAATAATAATAATAATAATAATAATAATAATAATAATAATAATAATAGGCCTAATGAAACGTTTCTTTAGACAGTTTCTCCGATGGTTTTAGCGTCGAGTTATGTGTGTTATTGAAGAGAATGCAGCCATGTCAGTCCATGCTTCTGTCGTGGAAAATGTCAATGCCTTTAATGTGGCTGCCTAACAAACTTAGTCTAAATAATAACCATAGAAAGATGACAAAATTCCCATTTAACTAGTGAATTAACAATGCAAAATGTTCAATACTGTACTTACATTTGTTATTAATTGTAAAGCCTCCTTGTCCATTGAGTAATGTTTATATGTACAACGCCACCTGGAGCGGTATAAAAAAAAATCATTCTTTTTCTAATGCGCCATTCCTTTATGATGATACGATAAGGGTGATAATATAATAATGATGATGATGATGATGATGATGATGATGATGATGATGATGATGATGATGATGATGGTGATAATAATAATAATGATGATGGTGGGGTTATGATGATATTGATGGCGACGATGACGATGGTGTTGGTGGTTATGATGATGATGATGATGACGGTTGATGATTATGAAATGATGATGGCGATTATGATGGCGGTGATGATGATGTCGGTAATTATTATTATGTTGATGATTGTAGGATAAGAATCGACTTAAAAAAAACCGACTCCGATGGAATAAGTACTTATATAGGCTGTTATGTAACACAATGGTATTAATGGTCAGTGGCGTATCTAGCAGTATTAAAATGGGGAGGGGGGGCGCGACCAAAATATGAGGGGGCGTGGAATTTATTTTCGGTGGCCACGCCCACTGAAAAATATTGCTTCTTAGATTCCCGAATACACGTTAACCGTGACGACAGATAGGTTAAAATATATCTCTTGAAAGCAGTATTTGATGTGTTTTGATGAACGTCAATAAAGGGAAGTTGAGAAAGCATTAACCCATTTTCTTGAGCATAAGC